GTTCATGGCGGCGGCGGCTCCCGCTGTCACGGCGGGAGGAGCGGGAGGAGGAGGAGGAGGAGGAGGCGGGGGCGGCCCGTGGGGGAGGGTGAGGGACGGGGCAGGAAGCGGGGCAGGAACCGAACGTCGTGACGTCATCGCGCTAGGGGCGGGGCCGCACGCTCTTAAAGGGGCCGCGGGAAACGGGGGGGAGGGGGGCTGGAGGGGGGGTCCCTAAACAGGGGCTGGAGGGGGAGGGGTCCCTAAACAGGGACTGGGGGTCCCTAAACAGGGATTGGGGGTCCCTAAACAGGGATTGGGGGTCCCAAAGGAGGCGCTGGAGGGGGAGGGGTCCCTAAACAGGGATTGGGGGTCCCTAAACAGGGACTGGGGGTCCCTAAACAGGGATTGGGGGTCCCTAAACAGGGATTGGGGGTCCCAAGGGAGGCGCTGGAGGGGGAGGGGTCCCTAAACAGGGATTGGGGGTCCCTAAACAGGGATTGGGGGTCCCAAGGGGGGCGCTGGAGGGGGAGGGGTCCCTAAACAGGGACTGGGGGTCCCTAAACAGGGACTGGGGGTCCCAGGGGAGGCGCTGGAGGGGGAGGGGTCCCGGGGTGCCCAGGGAAAGCTGGCGGGGCTCAGAGGGAGGGGGGTCACTTAGCGGGGTCTGGGGTCGCCCTAAGGGGGGTTTGGAGGTGAGGAGGGGTCGCTAAGGGGAGGTTGGATGAGGGGGTTCCCCCGAACCCCCCCGGTTTTGGCCCAGGTGGGACCGTGAGGGACTCCCCTGGTTCAGGTGCAGGGGAGGCAGGGGTGGAAAATGGTGTTTAAAAATGAAATAAATCTCAAATATAGAGAACAATAGAAAATACCGGTAATAAAATAATAGCTAATTCTATATTTGCGCATTAATACATAAGAATTTAATGTAAAATACAGTTAAATTAAATATTTATAAAGTATTTATAAACCTTTAGAGATATACCATGCATACTACAATAATACATAAAAATATAATAATAAATAATAAATATTTTTCAAATTAATACAGTAGTGCAACGTATAATATAGGAATAAATATTAATAAATAAAAATTAATATACTAATATATTAGTAAAAATCATATAATTATGCACTAATATATAAGATAATATATAGTATAATATGAATATATGTCAACAAATATTTATGTAATGCACAATATATAGCATAATAGTATAATATATTGGAAAATTCAACAAGTACTGATAAAATATACAATATATAGTACATAAAATATATATAATGTGTATCACATATATAAAGCTATATATAAATAATCCATATATCTCTATATCATTATAGAGCCCCCTTTGGTTGTAAAACGCCCCCCGAAAGTCCAAAATTCCCATTTTTTTGGGTGATTTTCCCGCTTCCTCTCTCTTCATTTCAGCCACACTTTCAGGACTCAAATCTCTCCTTTTCCGCCTTCTTTTCATCCAGCTCCAGCCCCAAACCCGAGGGAGCAGCTCATGAATAATGTAGCACTGCGGCATGAATATGCAAATTACCCTCCCGGTGGTGGGGATGTAGTCATGAATAATTCATGAGCGGGAAATTTTCCTTCCCTTCAAATTGCACAGAAATGGAAAAAAAAATTAAATAATATTTACCTTTAAAGTGGGACCAGATGCTGCTCAGGGACCCCCCACACCTTCCCTTAGGGACCCCCCACACCTTCCCTTAGGGACCCCCCACACCTTCC